AGTCTAATGTGGTTAAGTATTCAGCCCAATGATCTCACATCCTCCACAGCAGTTGAAGACTCATAAACACATTTTATGTCTGTGTTGGTATGTTGTCATAATTTGGGAGACACATTGCCTGGGAACACAATGGCTGGATACAGAAGTCTGGTTAGATGCTGAGAGATCTCAGCCAGATGTTTCATTCCAGTAATCAAAATTAAGTTATTGCAGGAAAAAATAGAAAGTAGTGAAAAGTTAACTTTATATAGCTCTTGTTTCTTTGTCTAAAAAAATGTATTTTTGTCTTCAAAAGCAGAGGCTACTAGGACAAGAAAATGATGTCAATTATAGCTGGAGAAGAAGAAATCCAAGTAACAGCAGAATCAGCAGAACTAGTTGGGGAAGAGCTACATATATTGCATTAACTTATAGAACACCTCTGATCAGAACAATATGTGCGTGAAGTGTGACCTTCCAGAGCTCCAAGATAAGGAGATGAGCAGACATCAGCTAAGTAGAATCAGCTGATGCCGGAGTACAGATGGTTGTAGAAGAACAGGCTTCACAGAAAACAATTTGCAACTACCTACTGCACATGAAAATGCCAGTGCTGTTCTAGATAAGTTGACTTGGGAAATATAAGAGAAAAATGTAAAGGAATAGAGAGCCAACTGAAAGACAGAGGTAACTGAGGCACAGATTTTCTGTACTGTGACATGAAAAACAGGAAGGGAGACAAGGTGGGAGAAGGAATCTGGAGTAGAACAGCCAGATTCAAAAATGACAGGAAGAAGAATAGAGTCATCTGGCAACCACTGTCTAGGGAAGAAGAGAAAAACGAATACAGAGGAGCATGAAGAAAAAGAGTAGGCAGGATACTATGCAGCACAAAGAGAGAAGTTCAAATCCAGCATCTGCAAGAGACCAGTCTTTGTAGACCTGAATAGTTCCATAGCAGTGAAATGTTTGCTGTTTATCTGAAAAGTGAGCACGAGTGAAGGACTCGGGGAGATAGTCAGATAGTCTCTTGGTGGGATTCAGGTAACTGCTCACATCTATAGAGCATGGTCATTACTGGAACAGGTTGGAAGTCAGTTTGCTGGACAATGTTGAATACTTAATGGTAGAAATTCAGGAATCTTCTGCTTCTGTCACATAATTTAAAGCACCAGTTTACAGCAATGTGCACAAATACTGAGGACAGTTCAATTCCGCAAGTGATCCATGGTTTGTTTACTGTCCTAGAGAGTAAACTTACACAGAAGTAGCTTTGTTTTCCTAATAGCCATCTGCATCCTTCTTCCTTATGTCTACAGGGTCCTGATTTCAAGGGGAGGAGTGGATTATGTTTGTACACTCTGCCTTTAGAGGAAATTCATCCCCTGATAGTGGGGATTCTTCCTCCCATTCAAGATTGAGACTTGCTTAGACACTAAGACTTATACTTCTCTGATAAGTATTGTATCTAAAATGTAGAAAATCACTGTTCTTGCCCTGGAGAAAGTGAAATCTGCATGATAATACAACCACTTCTAGAAAATGGAAATTGAGTAGCTCAGGATGCCTCATAAGTTGTTATCAGTTCAACCAGTGGAGATAGATGGAAGTGGTCCCTGATGGGCAAGGAGATACTTAAAATACAGATGTTATCAAGCAGAGGAGAAAAGTAGGAGTACCAAAGGAGCAGAGTTGGGACTGTGCTTGTTTATTATTTTCAATTGCAGCATGAAAGTTAAGGTTTACTATCAGAACAGCACTGGTGACACAAAGGTTTGAGACATTATTTAGGTATGAGTAACCAAGCTATAGAAAGTAGAGAATTAGAGAGGGGAAGTTTTCTGCAAAACAAAATATTGTGTATTTAGCTAGGACAAGGATAGAGAAACACTTCTGCCATAAACCAGAAATTAAGTAGTTAAGCTAAACTGAGGTTGTGAACTTGGCATATTATTTACCAGCATAAGCATGTACTGTCAGTATGATACAGCCAAGACTGGGGGTCCAGTCTTCAGAAACGCTGAACTCATACAGGAGCAGATAAACATGGTGAAGTTCAGCTGTGGAACAGCTGAACCTTGTGAGGAGAAACTAGAAGAACGTGGCATCTTCTTAGCAAAGCAGTCTTTCATTTGACAGAGATGTTACAGAACAAAAACAACTATTTTAGCTAAAAGACAGGGTTGTCAGAAAAGATAGAAATAAACTAAGTGTAAACTCCCCATGTGCTAATTCAGACTGGAAATTCAAAGAATTTTCCTAACCAGTATGGCAATGGAAGCAGAGGAAGTAAAAACCCAAGCTGCAAAAAATGTTTTGATAGAAAAGGATACAATATGATGTCTGCAATAAACAGGGGGTAGCTTCCATGACTCAGGAGGACTCACTGAACTCAAGGGCGAGTCTCTTCAATTAGATGTATTTTATGTATTTTTATAGTACAACATAATCAGCATATCTATGGCAGTGAATTACTGTCTATCTAAGTGAGGCTGGATTCATATGTTTAGGTGAGGAGAGAGCATGAAGATCATCCATTCTGAACTCTAATGTAATGCAGCCCATGGAAACCCACTCACTCATTTTTGCTTCAGGCCCAAACTTTTCTTTGATCTATAGCATATCATTTCAGAAAGGTATCCAGATTTAATTTAAAAGCTTGAAGTGAAGTAGAATGCACCACAGTGAACAGCACATCTATTGAAACTGCAGTGCAGATGGGGTTTTAGAGAACAGCCTTTGACCTTTGAGATTTTGATTTTTTTTTTTTGCCATTGTTGACAGGCTTTATGAGGAAATACATCAGACAGATCATAGTGGAAGATATTAAACTTCCTACATTTATTCTGATCTGATGAATTCCTTTTCAATAGCCTCAGGAGGAGTCAGTGGCCTGTGGTACGTTATTTCTGCTGTTGAGCCCAACTTTGAAACCAGTGAAGTTACTTCAGTTTTCACCAGGTGGGAATCTGATCCGTTATGCATATGATTAACAGACTTTCTGGGATGAATACATATTTTCTAAGTAATCCAACAGGCTGGAAAACAGCTATATATCTTACCTCTGGGTAAAACCGTCAGGCTTTGTCTTATGGTATATTCTTAGGACAGTATGTATTTCCTTTAGCATTAGCTTCCTAAATCTGGCACAGAATGTGAGCTCATCCTTTAAGTTCTCTCCATAGTCAGAAAAGAGAGAAAAACTTGCCAGTGATAAGCCACTGCACCTGTTTCATATACTTGGGACGGCTCTCCTTCCGGTTAGGAACATGCATTAAAATTACAGACCTACCTTTCAGGTGGCTGAAATTCTGTATGTCAATTCTGGAAAAGAAATACCTTATCGATGGAGAATTTTATGTGCTGTCATGGAACAAATTTGGAGCACTGTAGTGATAAGTCCAGATAAAACTAAACTGAAGTACTCATAAAAGCCTAGGTCTGACTTCCATGTGACAGGAAAAAGAGCATTGGAGGAAGCAATTCAGACCTGGGTATAACTTTGACTTCTTAAGAAGAAGTATGAACTATGAAAATCTAATATGAAGATGAACTCAAACACATAGTTAGTCATTAGATTCATGGTTATTCCTCGCAACATTTTTATTTGGTTGTAGTACTTCACTGGCACACCTTCCAAAGATCTCAGGTACCCCTGAAGCACAGTCCCATGCAATCTACAGAGTGTATCCAGGAGGACACTCCCATTATATTTAGCATCTTCTGAAAAGTTTAATTCATGCCACCATGTGGTTGTGCTTAATTTCGAGTGTCCAAGGACTCTTCTAAGAGCAAATTTCAATGGTGCTAGACTTTGAACTCAATCTTCAACTAGTCAATATCCTTGACCAATGGATTCTTTTTATGCATACTGCCACATGCACCCTTCATAAAAACAGTCTGAGTATGTTTAATTTGTACTACATTGATATGAAAAGAAAAATGGTGTGACCAAACTACTCTCAGCTTCAGCAATCAGTACAGGCACAGCCATCTGGAGGTCAAGTATTTTTAGTGGTCTGACTTGGATTAGAGTACGATCCTCATGCGCATGAATCATCACAAGGATTAATGAAGTGTATAATGTGTGTATGCTTGCTAATCTCCTCCATAGACATGACAAAGGAAGAAATATGTCATTTTGAGATGGTAAATGGCTCAGCAAAGAAAAGACAGATAGCCTAACTATATGCTGATGAAGACTCTACAGCTTTTGCTTTTTTTTTTTTTAATCTAAGAACTACAGCAATTGTGCTCAAAGGAGGCATGATCTGAAAATGATCCTGCTTCACTTTTACCTGTGAAATTTCCACTTTTATTCCTCTTGGCATTCCTACCTCTGATTTAGATGTTCCTATTACATAGATCATTTTAAATTACAGAATTTTATCATGTGCATTGATTTTGATCCACACTTCTGTACGTTTCTGCAGCTGATGCCTTGGTTATCAACATGGTTGCTCGAGATTTGGTTTTGGCTTAATCAAATACTTTCTCAGGGATGAATATTTGTCTCAACAATTCTGATAACAAAATACACTTCCTAACTTAATTGATCTGGAATTCTGCACAAGTTTTTAACCAGAAAGTATCAGGGACCTCTGCCATTATAGTTGTCCATGCAGAATGGATGCTCTGAAGTACGGTTGTTCCATAAAGGCTCTCTTCCCTGTCTCTGTAGAGAACATTTACAAAGTTTCAGAGTCAGCTCCAAGGACAACTGTGTGCAGACCTTCATGGGTAGTGGCAATCAGATACTGTTGCTCAGAAGCTCATCCCTTCTGGTATTGCACTGTTTGACACAAAATGAGTCAAGGGGACCAGTGAGCAAGTGAGGAAGTACATCAGTCTCAGAAAGGCTGAGCTGGTCTCTGAGAACTTCTACAGGTACAAAAGCCCTGGTTTGTCCCAGTGTGCATCTCTCTTATTTCTATCTCAGTAAAGGAATACACAGGACACATCTTGTAGTGTTAAAGAAGTGAATCATCTTTATTTAATAGCCAAGAGTTATCTGCTGCAGTGACATTCTATCTGCATGTGCTTGTCTGTTTAGAAGGAGGTAATCCCATCTGAAGACAAAGGAACTATTTTTATGGTAGTGGTTTACATTTGGACGTTAGTTCTGGGTGGTACCAAAATTCTTCTGAAAGTAGCTCAGCACTCAGCTCTAATTGCAGTCTTGAGAGGCCAACAGTCCCTCAGCATGGGCTCCTCAGCTCTTCTGAGGACTGGGCTCTTTGCAGCATCTTTCTTCAATGGCTTCAGTAGGAAATTAGTTTTTAGTACAAATGTGAATTGCACATGTGCAAGTTACAAATCTGGATCACTGCCAGTAGGTATAGTCACTAACTCTGCTATTTGGTAGTTACTATAAAGTCTTCAGTAATACCCTTCAATTCTTTTCCTGTCCTTTCAGCTACAGGAAAAAAAAAAAGAAAAGAAAAAGAAAAAGAAAAAGAAAAAAAAGAAAAGAGCCTTTTTATGTATATAGGGGATAAATGAATAGCACTTGTGGGACAAAGATGAGTGGGAATGAAAATATGAGTTTTTCTGCAAATGCTTATAGTCTGCAAATGATAGAATTTTCATACTCATGCTCTGTGAAAAAACAGTACTCAAGGGCAGAAATGAAAGCTTTGTGTGTGAGAGGATTAAACTAAAAAAGCAATGCAGCTATCTGAATCAGAAGAGACTCCAGTGTCCACAGAGCACTGCAGACCAGCAAAGTTTAATGTCAGCAGGATTGTGAAGGTCAGCGAGCAGATGAGGTTTGGTGGAAATGCCTCTCTAGACTGTGAAAAGACTATACGCATCTGGTAGAGCTGTCCCAGAGGATCTCTGAATTTCAGTGGGATGTGAAGCTTGCAGCTCACTTGTTGTGTAGCATTATTTTGATAGCGCTGCTCCGTCTACCATAGAAAAATAAAGAAGCTCCCATTCAACCTTCACAGCACGGATGTTTTATCCCAAGCGAGACTTAAGGGATAAATAATGTTGAAAACTAAAACTTGCTTACTTACATTTGTTTTTTAATTTTTGTATGTGTTTACTTACTTTGCCAAACAGAGGTATGCCTCAGTGAAAGTGGAGATTGAGTGTCACATTATCCTGCAATAGAAGAAATATACTTGTCAAAATAGAATATCAAATTTTCATTTTTGGAGCAAAATTTCATGACAGATGTTAATGTACTTCCCATGTACTAATTCTAAACATAACTGGTGACCACATGGTCTGCTCGCCCATGTAGAGTTTTCATCTAAGATGTTAGGAAACTTCAAGATGATCTTTACATCTTTACAGTTATAGTACTGGCAAGACAAAGGTCATTAAAAGTACAAAAGTACAGAATCATTATAGCATATGTATAGTATCATTACAGTTATATAATTGATGTCCATAAGGCAACAAGAGAATAACCTAGTTCTCATTTTCAAACATGTAGTTTGGTATCTGGCTTTTGAATCACAAAATAGCAGTGGGCTTCATATCATTTGGGTCTGAAACTCTTCCCATCCATGGCTGAAATGCAGCAGGAACAATTCAGAGAGAGAGTGTCACATTTTTCTGGTAGTTTTATTCCTTTCCCTTAGCAAAGATTAGGGCACGGAGAAAAGTTGGATATAAAAGTTCTAATCTGCTCTGGCAGGGACTTGCCTTATAAACAACTTGTGATTTACATGAACGTAAACAAAATCAAGATCAAGTTCCTGGTATTTAGACCTGAATACAAAATATATGTCTTTTTCCAGGAGAAACAGTCAGGAAAAGCTCCTTCACCTGTCTTGAAAAATAAGGTAATGCTCTAAAGATGTATCTGAAAGCTTTTTAATCTTTGACAAAGGCTGTTCTCTCTATTTCTAAGGCATCTTTATTGCCAATCATCAGTACTTGATCACACAGACAATTTCAAGATATACAAGTCTTGATGATAGAAGATATCACTTCTTATGTTAGTCACAGCTCTCATAGGTTGGGCACTGCCTATATAATATGAACCTTCAAAATTTTATTCAGTATAGATTCCTTAGAAAAAAATTTCTTAACAAAGTTATATCTAATAATGTACTTACAGAATAGATAGTGAAACCCTTACTGACACTGATTAGAATGTTAATTCATGACAAACTCATTTTGAAAGCAAGAAAATGTTTAAAACCCAATGATGTTTAGTTTAAACTAATTCTGACCAGGCCCTGGGAAATAGGAAATCCCTGACATGAGCCTTACATAAAAGAACAGCTTAGCTCGTGAGGAATGTAAATGAGCAAAAAGGATGTATAACAGCCAAGAAAGCTAGTAGTGAATGAAAAGGTCTGGGTAAAGGAGAAGGTGAAAAGAGAAATGTGTGGGTGAGGCATATGAGTTTTTTCATACTTACGGTCTTTACCTGATTTTAATATGAGTCAAATATAAATGAAAACTTAAAAACATGCATTTCAGGGAGTTTTCAGATGAAGGGCTTAGAAGAAAACTGGCACATAAGAAAAGAGGAGGCTGCATCCTTTGGGAGGAGAATCAATAAGATGCAGACCTGCTGCATGAGGTTTATTTTCTGGTCAAAGAGTTGCTACTTTAGGGGAAGTGAGTGTATTCAAGATACCAGAGCCTTCTGAAGCAGAAATATGTGAATGATACTGGCATCAGGCTGCACAGCACCTGGACAGGAGTCCAGCACTGAGCTGGCTGGGGATTTTCTGAAGAAACTGTTTTGTCAGAATAGAAAACGTTTGTGGAGACATATCCCCATTTAAACTCTTTTTCTCTTCCTGCTGGGAACAATATTTCCAATGCTAATAAGAGAAATCTGGTCAGGAGAAGAGAGCAGTGCACCCTTGATCAATACTGCAATGGCCAACACACTCGCTTGGGTCATGGGAGTACTGGTCTAGAAACCATTCATGGGTAAGGGATATTTTATCTCCACACTGCTGTTCACCAGGTCACACACAGAAGAGAGAACACCAGGTTAACCCAGTTATTCATTTTCCAGCTCAGAGCTGGGATCAGAGCAAGATTTGCTTGCCCTTGCGTGTACAGATATGGATTGGACATCCAGGTTTGCTTTAAGTCATTGACTCTTTTGAGCTGTGTTTCTCACCAACTCATGTACTGGGCTGTATCTTTACCTAGACATTTTTAAAGGATCATAAACTCATAGAATTGTTTGAGTTGGGAAGGACCTCTGAAGGTTATCTAATCCAACCCCCCTGCAATGGCTGGAGTGCCGAGGAACACAGTAGTCATGAAATAAGGGGTTACATTGTTAGCGACTCTGAACATTAACTACTTAAAAGGAAAAGGAGTAACATCAAGAAACCAGATCCCACTGTGCCTCTAATAGAAGCCCAGTTCACTCATAGAGACCCTTGGAAACAGAAGCCTCAGATCCTGCTCTGAGCAACAATTCTGTTCACCCTCAGAGTATTTTGGAGTGCAGTAGCAGGAGAAGATTTGGGAGAAGGCAATAGCAATATTTAGCACCAAAGGACCACAGAGGTCGCTTTCTAAGTAGATTCTAAATTGTTCTGAACTAGAGGTTGGGTAGCTGGAGTCAGTGTACTTCCGAGCTATGGGAGATCTCAGGTCTGAGAGAATTTTTATATCACAGTAAGGAGATCCTTAAAGGAAAATTCTTCCTCTAGAGCGTTCTAACAACAGAAAGGGTCTGCCAGGCAACAGATATGCTCTCCCTCTGAGGAAGCTCTTGTGGGAGATCCATATCATGGAGCTGCTGTTTTCTGAGCTCAGTGGAGTTTTCTGGGCCCAAGTTTTTGAAAGAAATAGGTCATTTAAGAGCATAATTTAGCTGGCTTATTTTCGTGCCTGTTTTCAGTTAAGCTTCATCATTCCTTACAAGCTGCAAAGGTGCTCTAGACAACTGAGTTAGCCAGCCATATATGTGCCTAGCAATGGTTGAAAATATTCTCACACATTTTCCTTTATCATGTGGTCTACTGTAGGATCAGCCTTGAAGTCAGTCAAGTTATTTGGCCCATCAGAGATGAAGATATTTGCAAAAAATTCATCTGCTTATGGTTTTCTCTGTCTTATTCTACTCAAAATCATGAGACTAATGTATTATTCACATGATTAAAAGCAATACTACTATTCTGTTTCTTCTAATTTTTCTTCAGTCATTCAAGTTTTCAGGTATATTTTTGTCAAACTATCCACCCTTACCTTTCATCTAAGGGCTGCTTTAAAATGAGGGCCAGGAATCCTGTAACTGTTTGACTGTGGAAGCTGCATATAAACTCACTGTTTTAGTCAGTACCACTTATATTCCAACATATAGTAATTCTCCATAAATATGATCTGTTATGATGCTGTAGTATTTTAGAAAGAGTCAGATGTGGGACTGTACTTCAGTTTTATAACTGAGGTATTACTGGATGTTATGCTATTGCAATAAGATATCATATTTGTTATATCTAAACTCAAGGCATGAGGTGCTGTAGACTGACTGCAGTCTCAGCCAGACCCACTACTATAAATGCTTCCCACGACCAAAACAGAAGCTCCCATTTCCATTGTTTAAATGTGTTTGCCCTACCTTTTGGACTGAAGAAATCTTCTTTATCCAGTACACCCCAATTAGAAAGACTGTCAAGGCTCATGATATCCACTGTTTCTCTTGGTATGGGTGAATAACTCTTGAAGGAACAGAAAGGAAGTGTGCATCTCAAAGCAGCAGGTGAGGTTGCTAGAGATTAGCAAAAAAGGAATGTTACAATAGAGTGAGCTCTGTCCGCGTAGTAGAACTGGAGTTCAACTGATCTATTTCAGACTTCAAACTTTGTGCCAAGTAAAGCTCTCTGTTCTGACCTATCAATGAGATGAACAGGAATTCCGGCAGCAATCAAACTGTTTGCAAATCCACTGTTTGAAAATCTCACTCATATTGAGTACAAAGTGTTATTTTAAGTCTGGACCTCAAAGGATAACTGACTACACAGTGAATCAGCTGATAGGGAAATTGATCACCTAGCCTGACTGTGGAGGAGCCCTTCAGAAGGGGAATGGAGGCTTTAAAGAAAAAAGGAAGAAGCAGGCTGAATATTGAAGGCTGGAGGGAAGGAAAAACACATGGGAAAATGGGATACTCACATCTGCATATGGTTTTGCATCATATTTTTGAGAAGAAAATGGGAATTTTAATTACCCAGGGAGTTGTAAGGATGGTATTGCATGAAAATAAATGTATAGAAGAGAGCCCAGAAGTGTGTGAGGCCTGGAGAAGCTGCTTTTGGATTGTCAGGCCCAGGAAACGTGGCTCAAAGTGGCTAAAAACTTGGAGGAGAAGGAAGATGAAAGCATGATAAAACCAGCTGTAGCTTTTTGGTGTCAAAGATGAGATGTTTTACTCCAGACCAGTGACAAGAATGCTGTGCTTTTTTTTTTTTTTTCTTGTCAAAATATTCCTGTCCCTATCTGGTTTCTGGTATGACACACAAGGCAAAGTCCATGTGTCATCACAACTCCCACGTGGGGACAGGGAGTGCCAGCTGCTGCGTCAGAGGCTCCCGCCCAAACTGCACCAGGTTGTGCCCAATGCTGGGGTGGGGAGGTAAGTCACTGGGAGTTCACAAAACAAACCCTTTGCAGTTGAGCATGTTGTCACACAGGGTTTATTGCTGGCAGGGCATATCTGATTGTCTCAACAGTTGGTGGAGAGGCAGCTTTGCTTGAGAAGTAGTGGTTAAGGTTTACAGGCAACACTTCTTTCCTTGATGAAGCTGTAGTTTGCCTCCTTCTTCGCTTCTCCAAGGCATACAGAAAATTGCCTTGCCGCCATGAAATAAGAAGTAGTCACTCATACAGAACATTCACCTTGAATACTTGTCACTTAATGGAAGCTGGTTGTATGCCTTTAATCTTAGATGACATATTTTACTTAAAATACCATAAAATATAAATATGAAACGTATAGGAGTTGTAGTAACTTCAGACACAGGGTTCTTATTCAGCAGCCACACTGGGAACCCACTAAGAAATATATTCAACTTAGACATTATTTCTTATTTTCCATCTTATTCAGGAGTAATAGGCAGGTGCTGAGAAAGTCTGTTTTTGCCTTTTCTGAAGAGATAATTAAATATGAAAAATATATGCATTCTTCATGGTTTCAGAGGAACTACAGTCTTACCAGAACACCAACATTTCACGAGGGCTGATCTATGAATGTTTGTGCATACTTCCTATAGCATTGAAAATCTTGCATGATTTAGCTCAAAGATATCTTTCTAAATGTCTGGGCTGAATATTTCACATAAAAAAGTGCTACAGCTCAAGACTGCCTTAAAGAACATCTACTGTGTGTGACAATTTATGGCTGTGTAGTTTTGGGTACAAATGCTCTTTCTGAACTCATGTAAAAATGTTGGCTTATTACAATTGCATGGTCTGACTGCAGATTATCTGCCCACGTTCTGCATCATCTGTGATTCTCTTATTACCCTTCATGGCTCTTTGTGTAGAATTTTCTATGGCCCTTTAAAATTTTCTCATGATTCATCTGTGGCTATGGCATCTCTCCATAAAGACACCCGCGTTTCTCAACTTACTTATTTGTTGAGTGCTTTCGATCTAAACCATACCACACAGTTGTTTCTTCCAATCCTTACAAAATCTGTATTTCATGAGTGCAATTATTTTTAGGAACATTCTCAAATTCAAAGTGGATGTGGTTAATGCGAAAGAAACTAGACAGAGAGTCTATCACCTAGGGTTGAACTAAAGTGGACTACTCCAGAAAGAGCCCAGGAAGCTGAAGGGTGGTACAGAGACATCTTAAAAGGGGGAAAGGCCACGTATTTTTAAATATAATTAGAGAAAGCAACTGAAGGGATTTCAACATCACACCTTCATTAAAAACTGGGTTAGAAAGCAGCCAGAGGAAATATTTCTTATTAGATTCCTCTCTTTAGATCCTAAATATCTTAAATATCCAGATCTAAGTCACATTTTTTGTCATCTATAGGTTTGTTATGCACTAGCACTTCATTTTTTCAAATACAGACAACAGAACTGAAGAACGTGAACTAACAGCAAAGGACTAAATCAGGGCTTGGACTTAATAAATTACTTCAGTCCAGAACGTCCTTAATCTCTCTCATTTAAATCCCTTGTGCTCACGTGCAAAATAAATCTTCTTTTTTTTTTTCTGATTAATTTTTATCTGACACTTATTCTTCCAAGAACTGGTATATCAGACTCCTCCACAAAATGAGCTGATAGAAAAGACAGAGCAATTACACACTTATACTCCTCTCAAGATTTCTGTTTGAGGAGCACAGAAGAAAACTAGCAAGACATAAAACAAAACTAATGAAGCAGGTTTATCACCTCACCTTCTGAGACAAATCAAGCTCCTTTTGCCTAGAGGCATCCAGAGTCTCATACCAGAACTGTGATCTCTGTGCTGGGGATCGCAGTGCTGCATAGCAGGAGAATTTGTGCACCACAGAGCTCAGTTTCCCAAGGTCCTGATTTGATGTGGAAGAGGAAATGTAGACAGCAAGAGGGAGAAAATGGCAATAGCAAGATGGAAGATTCCTTTTGCAGGGATAACACAGACTTCCTCCTTTTGTTTCTGGTCGAATGTCTGAAGTGGGACTGCAAACTTCAAAGAGTTAGCTTAGGCAAAAAAAAAAGTGGACAATAAAATAGTAAACCTCAAATTGTAAAAGCATTAAGAAATGTGATCATTTTCATATTATAAAGGAAGCACTCTGTAACATTTCCCTTTCTCTTGCAAATTCTGCTTTTGCTGCACCATCTATTTACTTTCAGGGTGTAGGACAAGACTAGCAGAACTATTAAAAAGTACAACACACAATGACACATTGAGAGTCTTAGGTTTGGTGATAACACCTGGTAGTTCTTCCCCAGCATTCTGGTTAATGTTTAGCTGTGGAGAACTGTTTAAATAACTGTAGAAGCCTTGGTCACAATTTTTGCCTTTAGAAGCAGAGCACAGTGCATTTGATGTGGTCTGAGAGATTTCCTGAAGAAACAGGAACAGCCTTTCTATTGAGGTCAAACTGCTAGGAAAGTTTCTTCAGCAGTTCTCAATTTTGTCTCAGCTTCTTGAAAATGGCGGGTGTAAGCAGATGCTTGAAGTACTCCATGTTCATCTTCAACTTCTTATTTTGGGTAAGTTGGTGTTTAAATTGTTATTAGTGACACATTAAATGTGTTCAACATTATCCAAAGTCTGTAGTTGAAAAAAATTATGAAGATAATAGAGCATAAATGAAACCAGAGCATGATTCTAAATCAGAGAGAGAAGAATGCTTAATTTTTGCTCTTCTTTTGTCTTTTTCTTACAAAAAATGCCTTTCCTCTACATTGAAAAGTAGAACAGCCAGAGTTCTGTCTTCCTGAGACACGTCTGAAACGTGCCCCTCATCTCAAAGGACATCATTCATTTGAGTCAGAAGATAACAGACTCTCCATTATCTTAACATACATTATTCTCTTGTGCTTGTTTGCTTGCTTGTGTTTTTTTGGTTTGTTTTGTTTTTCTGTCTGCTCTTTGCAAACAAACTACACAATCCTGAAAGGATAGCTGCAACAGAAGATAGGAAAATGTACTTATATTTTTAGCCTCCTAATTGATAAATGGTTTTCATATCCTTCTCTGTGGTTCTTTGCTTTATGCTTAGTGTCGTAATTAGTTTCTGATGGTGGGCAATAAATTTCTGGGAAATGGTATGGGCTGGCAGTATGGATGGGAGCCATACTGAAATGATTGAGTTCCTCCAGCATACAAGGAAAGGGGGTTCCTCCCTCTGCCTGGCACAGGATGGCAGGCATCTTTCCCAGGGTAGATTAAATCACATTTGCCTATTTGCCATATCTCAGCCAGTTTGTAAGACTTTCTGCTCCTGGAATTCTGAGAAGTTTTGAGTAAAAGATTATTTCTGTCATGTTCCGCTTCGCTGTTAGCTTTTGGTTTGTCAAGTTCACCTGAGGTTCATCAAGATCAGAAGTGAAACTATCAGCCACAGTATGGCTGCTGCCTTGAGGAACATTTCCCAAGTGAAAAGGTGATACAATTAAAAAGGTGATACAATTAAAAAATTCTACTGCTGGAAGAATTTTCTGTGCCTGTGGCAGCCTGAATGGGGTCAAGGAGGACACAAAATGCAGCTATACTGACTTACTTTAAAGGGAGGGGTTAGCACTACCAAGAGAGAGGAGAACAGGCATGGTGCAAACAGGAATGCGGTTAGAGTACAATGAAACTGAATTCTTTGAATTAAACTCCTGTCTCTAATCCCTGGAAATCATTAAATTGCTGTAGTGAAACGCAGAGAACGGCAATTTCCACTGCTCTCACAGCTGCTCTCCCAGGTGCACAAGGAAGTTGGGCAGGTGGAAAATTAAACTGACTGGGACAAATGAAGGTGACTTTTGCTTTATCTAGATAACAGCAATGGTCACACGTTTATCTGGTGTCCTTTTGTTTTAAACTTCGTGTGATCTCTCTGGGACTGTCTCCTCCTTGGGAGATCAGGATTGGGCTTTCCAGCCTTCCTGTGCCTTTTTTTGCAGCAGTTCTTACATCGTACTCTGGAGTGTCAAAGCCCTGGAAAAAGTTATGTCAGACCTGCAAAGTGGTGTGGTCTAGCTCTCCTTGGCCCCATGGATGGATTGTGCACTATGTGCCCCTGGGGATAGGAGTTTTGCATCTT